AGATGACCCAACGCTAAAAAAAAGATATGTTACGTAGTCACAAGAACAATTACTTATATGAGCAGATCTTGCAGATCCCTTATTGTATATTAGGAATGACAACCATTCGGGATAATATAAATAAGTATCAATTTTTTTGTCTATATTGTTTTTTATTCTTTTTTTTTTTTAATAACAAATCTTTTTTTATCGCGTTATTGTCGTGCTGTTGGGATGTCGTATATTTCATCCTTGTCAGGTCGATATTGTCATATACTGGTGTCATCGCTTGTTGGTGTATTTTTCAATGTCTTAAATGTTGTCTCATTCGTTGGTGCTTTACTGTCACTTCACTGGATCCTTTTTGCAGTCAATGTATTTCTCCTATTTTCGATATTATAATGTTTATCATTTATTAATTTATAACCGTAATTAGCTTATCAGAACTATTAACGATTTGTATGACTTGGCTTGGCTTGGCTCTTATAATCGATGGCTCCATGGATGTTGAAGCCACAGCTTGAGTCATGACTTGAGACATGACTTAAGCAATTGATCCAATGGTTATTGCTGGAAACGTGGCACCCGATTCCCATTTAAGCATCTGAATCCGATTACTATATATAACTACAAGAAAGACTTGCAAAATTATCAGGTGGGATTGCTGTTATTCGAGTATGTGGTTCTTCAGAAGTTTAAGACAATGAAAAAAAAGATCGATTCGTTGATGCTTTGAATACAACACGTGCAGCTGTTGAGGAAGGAAAGCGTAAATATCATAAAAACTGCTCTTCAAAAACCTGCAAAAACTATTGTCGATAGTGCTGGTGAAGAAGGTTCTGTGGTTGTAGGTAAACTAATAGACGATCATGGAAATAATTTCAATTTTGGCTATGATTCTGCCAACATGAGCTGCCTAAATCATTGGGCGTCATTTGCACCATTACCAATAGCTAAAAGAATGGCTTTAAGATGACGTTTCACTAGTTTTACAACAAGTGCTTTTTGGAGTGGTGACACTCTGCAGCATATAACTGCTTTGCACATAGTTGCAAGCTCAAGAAAAACCTCTTCAATTTCCTTGTCAAGAGCAAATCCAAGTGTACAACAAAAGCAAGAGGCTACATTTATGTATATTCACGTTATTACATGATTAAAAAATCAAAGTTTATTGATTATAAACTTACTTCAACATCTGGATTAATTCGACCTTTAAGCGATTGAATACTTTTCTCTAAAATTCTTTTGTTTTCCAATAACTTTCTTCATTCACAGTGATTAAAGTAATTCCTCATTAATTAATTTACAACTAAGTCCAATATTTATAGCAGTTTCTTGCCTATCACTAATAAGGACCCAAATTTTAATTCCAGCTTGTTGAAGTGTACGAATTATTTCTGGAACACCCTCCTGTAATTTATCCTCAATTGCAGTAGCACCTAAAAGAAATAGAATTTTTTCAATAAGGTAGCTGTGCGATGCTGTCATACTAAAACCAGAAACGTAGATCTTTGAACGATTAGTATATCATAAGGTTTTTTGATCGGACATAGAATTGAATCATTCTAGAAAAAAATTAA